ATCATCAACAGATTTTCGCCTGTCGAAATTTAACATGCGGTCGTCAGACATGACCATTGTAATATGCCTTTGTATGGCCTGTTTGTTTTCTGCTTCGAATATCCCTTTTCAAATGAATTTATGCATGTAATAATTGCTCATTACATCTGTCTAATTAGAGTGTGTGTGTGTATGTTTCGAACATGTCAGACTAAACTCAACTCGATGTATGGAACGAACAAAACATTTGTTTATTAATTCATGAATGCCGGCATACAACGAACAAAAGGCATCAATTACAATTGATGTCGCTCTCTCTCTCCTTTAGTCTCTCTGTCTCGCTCTTTGATTGCAGTTACGAGTGTTTCCGGCTAATGTTTACAAAGAGCTTTTGTTGTTTGTGAATCATCTTCAGACAAAGTGGATATACAACATAATCGTACATAGCTTTGTGAAAAGTTTTATTGTTCTTGATAGACAATTAAGACTTTTATTAGAATCATAAAGAGGCATATTGGATTAATAGGCGAAGGTGAGAGGTTTGTTGGCATTTCGAACATAATTATGGGTAATGTTAATTGAGGTTGGATTAATTAAAGGAAATAGGTTATTCTTCTTAGAACTTTAATGAAGATCTGAAATTTTCAACGTCGGTTTCTTGAAGAAATCTTAAAGAATCAACACTTTCGAAAACTTAGCAACAAAATCCACTATACGGAACCTAATGATAATTTTTGAAAAAAACCTAAAAATCCAGAAATAGGAAATTGAAGATGAATGTTAAAACAAGTAAAAAAACATTAAGTTCTACCTGGCCAAACTTTTAATACCCTCCATCTTAGGGTAAAGGAAACATTAGAAGAAATGTGGAAAAAACCATTAAAATGCCGAATATCGGGAGGTATCGTTATATGGGGGCTATACCAAATCGTATACCTACACATGCAATTTTTCGCCAACGGAGCTAGAACCCATTATGACCTACAAATACCAATTTTCAGACAAATACGTGAAAAAATGTGGCAACAATCATCAAATTACCGAATATCGGGAGGTACCGTTATATGGGGGCTATACCAAAACGTGGACCTATAATTACAATGACTCGCCACACGAACTGGGACTCATTATGATTTACAACTACCAATTTTCAAAGAAAGTCGTGAAAAAATGTGTCAAAATCATCAAAATACCGAATATTGGGAGGTACCGTTATATGGGGACTATACCAAAACGTGGACCTATACATACAATGTTTCGCCACACGAACTAGGACCCATTATGACCCACAAACACCAATTTTCAGAGAAATTCGTGAAAAAATGTGGCAAAAATCATCAAAATACCGAATATCGGGAGGTACCTTTATATGGGGGCTATACCAAAACGGGGACCTATACATACAGTGTTTCGCCACACGAACTAGGACCCATTATGACCCACAAATACCAATTTTCAGAGAAATTCGTGAAAAAAATGTGGCTAAAACCATCAAAATACCGAATATCGGTAGGTAACGTTATATGGGAACTATACCAAATCGTGGACCTAGACATGCAATGTTTCGCTATCGGAGCTGGAATCCATTATGACCTACAAATACCAATTTTCAGCCAAATGCGTAAAAAATGTGGCAAAAATAATCAAAATACCGAATATCGGGAGGTACCTTTATATGGGGGCTATACCAAAACGGGGACCTATACATATAATGTTTTGCCACACGTACAGGGACCCGTTATGACCTACAAATACCAATTTTCAGCCAAATCCGTAAAAAAATGTGGCATAAATCATCAAAATACCGAATATCGGGAGGTACCGTTATATGGGGACTATACCAGAACGTGGACCGATATATCTCATTTACAATACCAACCATCCTAGACACAATACAAATTGATCTGCTAAATTTTGGCGCTCTACGTCAAATAATGTGGTCTGTATCGTGACTTCAACAGACAGACAAACGGACAGACAGACAGACGGACATCGTTGAATCGAATTAGAATTTTATGCTGATTATGAATATATATACTTTATGGGGTCTACGACAAATATTTAAGGATGTTACAAACGGAATGACAAAGTTAATATACCCTCCTTTTCAAGGTGGAGGGTATAAAAATTCCTATAAATCCAAGAAATCAGACCGGTGTTGGCATTTTTGTTCGGGATGAAATGAAATTTCCAACCAATATTTGTTTGGCCCAAAGACGAACCCTATTAAAATTGGTGAGAATCGGTTCGAATTTAGATATAGCTGCCATAAATATTTTCAACCGATTTCGGGTTAATTGTACACCAAAATGGTCAATATCAGTTCAAATGACCTGAATAGAAGCAAGTACATGAAATTTGGAGAAAATCGGTTAGCTATAGCTCCCATATATAAGTTTCATCCGATTTGGTGTTTAAGTCTCTCACATGCATAATATGCACTCCACAAGAATATTTGATACCATATATCAGATACAGCCCAGTAATATTTCTGCCCTCTGCTGATATCAGCCCAAATGAACTGAATCTTTGCAATTCCGACTAAATTAATTCTAGAAACAAGTAGACTACACCAAATTTGGTGAAAATTGGTTCCGATATAGCAATAGTTCCCATATATACGTTTCATTCGATTTGGTGTTTAAGTCTCTCACATCCGTAATATGCAGTCCACAAGAAAAAATATTGTGTACATATATATCAGATACGGCTTAGAAATACCTCTGCCAAATTTTGTCGAGATCGGATCAGATTTGGATATATACATATATTTACCCGAGACCAGCTCAAATGAACTGAATCTTGGCAACTCCGACTAAATTCACCCTAGAAACAATCACTTGAAATTTGATACCGGAAATCAGATACAGCTCGAAAATACCTCTGCCATATTTTATCGATCTTCATCCGATTTTACGGTAATTGTCCACCAAATATATAATATCAACCCAAATTGGATAGATTTTTCATAATCAACTGAATTTTTCCAATTGGTGAAACTCGGTCCGGTGTATCTATTGCTCCAATATTTTTGTACCCTTTACCATAGTCTCTAGGGTACATTAAGTTTGTCATTCCGTTTGTAACACCTCGAAATATGTCTTGTCTTGATCTGGCCAGGTCCACGCCAGGTCATAGCCCCCCAAATAACGGCACCTCCCTATATTCGTTATTTTGATGATTTTAGCGGCATTATTCACCGGAATTTTTTCAAATTTGTATTTGAAGTTCGTTCGGGACTACAGCCTATGGATCTGTGCAGGTCCACGTTTTCGTATAACCCCCATATAACTTTACTTCCCAATATTCGGTATTTCGATGACTTTAGCGACAATATTCACCGGAATCGTATCAAATTTGCTATTTGAAGTTCGAAATGGATACTACAGCCTATGATAGAAAATTGTCTGTGCAGGTCCACGTTTTGGTATAGCACCCATATAATGGTACCTCCCTATATTCGGTGTTTTGATGATTTTAACTACATTATTCACCGGAATTGTTTCAAATTTGGTATTTGAAGTTCGTAATGGATACTACAGCCTATGGCAGAGAATTGTCTGTGCAGGTACCTCCCTATATTTGGTGTTTTGATGATTTTAGCTATATTATCTACCGATTTTTTTTAAGTTTCGCATTTGAATATTGTAATGGGTTATGACAAAAGTTGCCTATGCAGGCCACGTCGTCGTATAGACCCTAATATAACGGCTACATTTGGTATATTTAAGATTTTAACAAAATTTTGAACACATTATTTTTTTTAAATTGTCAAATTCTTTCCAAATGGTGGAGTGTATTCAAAGTTCGATCCAGCCGAACTTACAGCTTTTTTACTTGTTTAAATATAATTCTTATCGAAGTCATGTAGTGCATGATATGACTTCGATAAGAATTATATCAAAACAGTAAGGTTATTTGGTACTAGAGGTACAAAAAGCCTCCGTCTAATTTGTTGAACATGGATTCAGAGTTCGATATAATTTCCAAATTGTGACTACTCTAAAACCATGATAGGCATTCAAATAAGGCTCATAGTTGGTATCATGGTACAAGAAGGAGGTAGAACAGCTTCGTAGAACTACAGAAATACAGCTCTAAGGCTATGCCCGCTTCCTGTCAGAATTATTCAAAATTATAGGCAACAAGTTGTTTTTATTCATTTGATATTTTTGTTCATTTCTAAAATGAGTCAAATAGCGCAAAGATGAATGAAATGCCTGGATGTTCTCTCAAAAATATGATCCTAAGTGTTCAATCTTTCAATTTCATGGCAGATCTGGTTAATATCATTAATGCGCGCCCCGAAATTTAAGTTTCTTCCAATCATTGATTTTGAAAATATTTTGTTTTTATTATTCAAAACAACAAATACATACACAAAAATGGCAGAAGTCGGGCACACTTTGAAAAAAATTGTAATCAGCTGGGAGCTCTACCTTACCTTTTTATTGTACCATGGTTGGTATGATCTACTTCACATAAATTCTCAATATAAACTTTTTTGTTACGGGAACCTGACTAAGTAGGCATAGTGCGCATTTCTTTACTGGTTACATTTGTATATGGTCGTAGGACAATATTTAAAATTCTCTATAAGAGGCATGACCATGGTCTATGATATTTTTTTCTTAGAATTTTTCAAAAAATCCCTTTTTTATAAAAAATTATGTTTGAAAAATGAAGATGGTCTTTGAATATACAATAAAAAAACATTTGAAATTCCTTCAAGCCCTCCATTCACTTCATTCTCCATCTGTTCCCTCCATTTGGAAGCCGAATTAATGAACACTCTTTTAACGTTCGTGGTTGTTTACATTCGTCACCAACAATTAATGGATTTTTAAAATTTGAATGCGTCTTCTTTGTCATGTTCTCACGCCCGGCTATCCTCCCACAAACATATCCAATCATGACACCCCCTCCGCCAACCAACCGTAAAAACATCACATCAAACCCAATTAATCTTTTTCTGTTTTTTTTTTTTGTATCACCATCATCAACATCGTCATCATACTTACATATACTCTTGGTTGGAATGATTCATTGTACCATCCGGCCATTCAGGAAAGCAAACCGTCCGTATGCCATCCTTGCTGGAAATATCCTCGGTGGTGTAGAACAAGAGCATGGGACACGATATTATGGCCGAGGCTATCCAGATAACGGCGGCAATACCCAAATTACTGCGTTTGCTCATACGTGGTTTCAAAGGCTTCATTATGGCCACATACCTGGAAAGAAAGACAGCAAAAAAAAAAAAAAAATAGCAACAACAACAACACGTTGGTTGTTAAGGACACTCCATGAATCTCTTGTTAGTGATCGAAAATAAAAAAAAAAAATAATGAAAGAAAAAAACACCAAAACTTGATGCTGGCTTTAAATAACTGAAACGGCAACAGCAGCAGTTAAAATTCAAATTGATAAAAGTCATTTAAAAGTCCATCCAATAAATTTCCACCGAGTTGGAAAAAGTTACATTAAGGATTTTCTGTTCTCGTGTTTTTTATTTTTTTGTTTTGTGAGTCGGGTTTTGGTTTTCCAAGGGGAAAATTAACTTTTGACTTTTTTTTTGTGTGGTAGATTTCATAGAAAGGTAGCAGCCACAGCAGCTGGTTTCGCCATTTTTAAATGGAATTTAATAATTCAATAATAACATAAAGCTATTTTCGGGTTATCTTCTGGGAAATTGATTTAGGTTTTTCCATCTAGCTGAAAAATTTATTGACATTGGAAAAATAAAGGCTGGTCTTCATTGAAATTTGGGGGCTAATTAACACAACTTGGGAAAAATGCATTAATTAAATCAAAATTTAATTAGGAGAGTACATTTTTGTTTTTATAACTGAGATTTTTTTTTAAAAAAGATTGGGTGTGGACCATTTTGTTACCCTTTTTTCCCAAAATCACAGAAAGTTTTTAATTATTCGGGAATAAATTAACTTTGCTTGATTGTATTTTCAGTAAAGTAAAAATATAATCCTTTAGTCCCAAAACCCTATTATTTAATATTCTTAATTTATTTTTATACCCTACACCACAAGGTGGTCAGGGTATTATGTCTTTGTGCATTTGTTTGTAATAGGCAAAAGGAAAGGAGATTGACCCATAGTTCCTTTTGATGATCTGCATAGAATCACGTTCTGAGCCGATTAATGCATGTCCGTCCGTCTGTCCATGTATTTTTGTAAACAAAATACAGGTCGCATTTATTGCCCGATCCAGATCATTTGTTTAGCCCAAGGACGAACCCCATTGAAATTGGAGATAATCGGTCAAAATTTAGATATAGCTCCCATATATATCTTCGTCCGATTTGCCTTCTATTGTGCATCAAACGTGTAATATCAGCCCGAATTGTATGGAATTTTGCATATACACTCAGATTAGGCCTGAAAATAAGTATGCCAAATTTGATCGAAATCGGTTCAGATATAGCTATAGCTCCCATATATATTGTTCATCCGATTTCTTATTTTTGTCCTCCGCAGCCGTAATATGCACTCTGTAACAACAATATTTGGGGAAATATATCAAATACAGCTTAGAAATACATTTGCTAAAATTTATCGAGATCGGTTCAGATTTGGATATAGCTCCCATATATAACTTCGTCCGATTTACCTTTGATTGTGCACCAAACGTCTAATATTTGCCCAAATTGGATGAAATTTGGCACTTAAGACCGAATTGAGTATATAAGCTAGTATGTCAAATTTGGTGATCGATTCAAATATAGCTATAGCTCCCATATATACTGTTCATCCGATTTGTCATATTTGTTACCCACAGCCGTAATATGCACTTCGTAACAACGGTATTCAGGGAAATAAATCAAATACAGCTCAGAAATATCTTTGCCAAAGTTTATCGAGATCGGTTCCGATTTGGATATAGCTCCCATATATATTTTTATCCGATTTCATATTAATTGTGCACCAAATGGGCAATACAAGTCCGAATTTAAAAAATATAAATGCTTCGGCATATTTAATCCTGTGAACTTTAAATTATAATTATAATCATAGCGTGTATGATTGAATTCTCCCATAAAAACTTTTAATTGTTATGCGGAGCTCTACTAATTAGCAAAGTGGTGTAGGGTATCATAAAATCGGCCCGCCCGACTTTAAGACTTTCTGTACTGGTTTTAATTTACATTTTTTTCTGTACGGCAATTTTTGTTACACTGTGCAACAAAATTCAATTTTTTTCAAATATAATGGGGAAAATCTGGAAGATAATGGAAGCTCAGCTAAAAGTAGGAGACAGGCATATCTGGCGGTTTGAAAGTTTGCATCGCATGCCCGCTAAATAGAAGGAGAAATTATCGTATTTTGCAATTTTCGGATTTGGATTCTTGGGAATCTGTGAATTTTAGGTATGTTCTGGGCAATCTTACTGATACCAATACGAGGATTATTTTGGTAAAAAAAAATTAAGTCTTAAGCAAACCACTAAAGAGTAATTTTTTTGTCCTTTTTTTAATTTGCTTAAAATGTTGGCTAAAACCCCTGTACAAAATACTTTGTACATACTTTAGAGTGCAATTGAGGTGCTGGGAAATTCTAACAATTAACCAGTAAAGAAAGTATTAAAGTCGGGCGGGCCCGACTTTATGATACCCTACACCACTTTGCTAATTTAGTTGAGCTCCACATAACAATTAAAAGTTTTTATGGGAGAATTCAATCATACGCGCTATGATTATAATTAGCCGAAGCATTTGTATCTTTTAAATTCGGAATTGTATTGCCCATTTGGTGCACAATTAATTTGAAATCGGATAAAGATATATGGGAGCTATATCCAAATCTGAACCGATCTCGATAAAATTTGGCAACGATATTTCTGAGCTGTATTTGATATATTTCCCTGAATATCGTTGTTACGGAGTGCATATTACGGTTGTGGGTAACAAATATAACAAATCGGATGAATAATATATATGGAAGCTATAGCTATATCTGAACCGATCTTCACCAAATTTGACATACTAGCTTCTAGACTCAATTCGGTCGTAAGTGCCAAATTCCAGTTAGACAAATATTAGACGTTTGGTGCACAATAAAAGGTAAATCGGACGAAGTTATATATGGGAGCTATATCCAAATCTGAACCGATCTCGATAAAATTTTGCAAATGTATTTCTGAGCTGCATTTGATATATTTCCCCAAATATTGTTGTTGCAGGGTGCATATTACGGCTGAGGAGGACAAAAATAACAAATCGGATGAACAATATATATGGGAGCTATAGCTATATCTGAACCGATTTCGATCAAATTTGGCATACACAGGTCTAATTTGGGTGTATATGCAAAATTCCATACAATTCGGACTGATATTACACGTTTGGTGCACAATAAAAGGAAAATCGGACGAAGATATATATGGGAGCTATATCTAAATTTTGACCGAATATCTCCAATTTCAATAGGGTTCGTCCTTGGGCCAAACAAAAGATCTCTGCAAAATTTCATCTTGATCGGGCAATAAATGCGACCTGCACTTTGTTTACAAAAATACATGGACAGACGGACGGACGGACATGCATAAATCGACTCAGAATGTGATTCTATGCAGATCATCAAAAGGAACTATGGGTCTATCTCGTTTCTTTCTGCCTGTTACAAACAAATGCACAAAGACATAATACCCTGACCACCTTGTGGTGTAGGGTATAAAAATGAAGATTCCAAAATATTAGTTTCCCAGCTGCGATAAAATATCTTATGTGTAGAATTCAGTGATCTTGTGCGCTGTCGCATATGATAACATGTAAAATAATAAAGGACATGATGCGCCAGTAGGTAGCCAAGACCACTTGAATGTAATAGAAATAGATAAGAACAATTGTGTGGCTGCGACTAGGTTAAGTCAGATTATTTTCAGTAGTACGTAAGGAACATATTTCAAATATAAAATCAGAATTGGAACAGCATTCGAACCGTCAGGTTCTGTTCTATCTTTTCTCACTATTTATATTTGGTACTTTGAGCCAAATACTAAGAATTGAATCTACACCTAAGCGGTCGTATTCTTTTCTCGCCCTCTTACAACCGCCATACACTCCTACTTTAGGTCCTAGTCTTAATTAAAAATCTAAATCTTACCCAAACGCCAGAAATTTGCAAAGTACGGTTTAAGTCGTACATCATGCGAATCTATGCCAAATCTACCTTCTACAAAGCATCATTATTTAAGCATAACTTCAAAAAACTGCAACAAAGGCAAATGCTATAATTTTTACATTTTGTTTTTAAGTTGTACTGAATGAAAGCGAAAAATGTCGGAAATAGTATCAAATTTTAGAATAAGTTTAGATTTGTTCGAACTGGTCACCTTTGGCACGAATTATAGCATTCAAACGGCCAATGAAACCTTCACACGCTGTCCGAATGTTGCTCTGCGGTATTTTGGCCCATTCCCGAACACTCATTTTGAAACCATTCTGGAGGAACCAATATTCGGCATTCTTTCTGATGCCACGTTCGATTAATACGAGCGGAGAACGACTATCGGCTGTTATTGCGGTCCACACCATCACCATGGCTGGCGCTTGAGTTCTGGTGACCAACCAAAATTGCACATTTTCAGCTGACCTCTTTGGCAAGTAAACACGATCATTTTGATTGTTTACAAACTGCAGGACAACGAATGCTTTCTCATCGGAGAAAACAAAATTCGGCAGTTCACCACTTTCGGCCAAGCAAAGCAACTCTTTAGCTCTTTTAATCTATTTTCTTTCGATTGCGGTGTAAGTTCTTGAAATTTTTGGAATTTCAATGGCTTTACTCCGAGCTGATTTTTCAATATTTGCCGAGTGGAATATTGTGATATGTTCAACTCACGAGCCATTTTTCGGCCACTGCGAAGCGGTTTTCGATCAAGTCGCTTCTTTACTTTTCGATGTTGCTGATGTTGTTGTTTTCTTCCGTCCACATTCTTGACGTCGGGCTACGCTACCAGTATCACGGTAACGAGCGATGGTACGAGACGCAGAAGATTTATTCACATTTAAATGCTGGAGTGCTCTAACGATAGCCACTTGTGGTTTTCCAGCCAAATATAAAGAAATCACACTATCACACTTGAATTCCATCACGAATAACTTTTTTTCTGGAAAATGTTCACCAAAATGCTTTTGTACGTTTGCAAACAATATAATGAGCTGTCACTGGAATAATTTTAACAGCTGTCGGACGAGTGGATTAGAAATGACAGCAGTCTGAAATTGGTTGCAGATTTTTCATCTCACCCTGTAGGTACGTTTTAGGTTCTATGACGAATATTTAGGGATGTTACAAACGGAGTGACACCTCCCTTTCGAGGTTGAGGGTATAACGAGGGAAGTTTTAAATTCATAGACTTTTTTAAAAGCTCTGGACTGAGCTTTTAATAAATTTTCCGCTAGCCAAAGAAAGCTAATATGTATTAAATATACAATCATCGCTTGGCCCACGTCTGAATTAATTACAGGCTAGATATATCAAAAACCACCCTCCTTATAAGTATGTCTAAAACACTTCAATTTAAGAATACAAACTTTCACGTCAATGGGGTCCACCTTCCTCAAACGAAGTTGTCTATGCCCTCTGACATTATAAATGTCTCTATTAAAGTGTATCATAGGAAAGAAACTCTTAATCGATACAAAGTTTATAAATACAACGTGATTTATGGGCGTTACAATGTTTTGGTACCCCTTTCTCCCCGTCGTCAATTGCCACACTCACTAAACTTTAGTACTCATGTAAACATTTGTTAATGAGCCGCAAACAAAGTTTCCGACAACAACAAAAAATCAAACAAAAATATTTGAGTTTTCCCAACTTTGTAGTTGTTGTGAAGCAGTTTATGATGAAGCTTGAGTTTAATAACTAAATCCATAAAAGCGTGTAGTTGCTTTTTTTTGTCTGCTTTTTAGCTTTTGTTTCACGAGTAGGATGAAAACTCGATTCACTCGAAACTGTGGTGCGCAAAGTGCGTGTTCGTTCTCACAACTTTGTTCAATGAAATACGTAAAGCACTTCATACTGGATTGTCGAACATATCCGCTAGCTTTAAGTGGAATCAATTACAGGGAGGCGAAGAACAAGAAGAAAAAAATCATATTCTCCAAAGTTGGGTGGATGATTAAACAAATGGAGATTTTTACGTGGAAAGAAAGGGGCATGAGAAAAGGTAGCTGAGGTGTAGAATTGCTAAGTTAAACTTCTGTTGTGAAATGAAAGATTCAGAGATAAAAAGAGACTTTGTGTTTTAACATCAGGCTTTTCAAGGACTTTCGAAAAAATGTGATAGAATAGGCATAACCCCCAATATAAGCTGTGAGGTTTATTATTATTATTGTTATTATTATTATTATTATTATTATTATTATTATTATTATTATTATTATTATTATTATTATTATTATTATATTATTATTATTATTATTATTATTATTATTATTATTATTATTATTATTATTTTTATTAGTATTATTATTATTGTTATTATTATTATTATTATTATTATTATTATTATTATTATTATTATTATTATTATTATTATTATTATTATTTTTATTAGTATTATTATTATTATTATTATAGTATATATATTCATGATCAGCATAAAATTCTAAGTCGATTTTACGACGTCAGTCGGTCTGTATGTCTGTCTGTTGAAATCACGATACAGACCACATTATTTGACGTAGAGAGAAATTTGGCAGAATAATTTGTATTGTATCTAGGATGGTTGGTATTGAAAATGTGATATATCTGTCCACGTTTTGGTATAGCCGCCAAATAATCGGTATTTTGATGAATTTGGACACATTTGGACAAGGTTTGCGTTTTTGTATAGCCCCCACATACCTCTCGATATTCGGCGTTTTGATGATTTCTGCCATATTTTTCCACCAATTTGTCCAAAAACTTGTATTTGTAGTTCGTAATGGGTTCTACCTCCGTTGGCGAAACATAGTATATATAGGTCCATGGTAACGGTATCTCTCAACTTTCGGTGTTTTGATGATTTTTGCCATATTTTTTCACCGATTTGTCAAAAAAATTGTGTTTGTAGTTCGTAATGGGTTCTAGCTCCTGTGTCGGAACATAGTATGTACAGGGTGAGATAAAAAAAACTGCAACAAGTCAAACGCCATAATTTGAACATTTTTTTTAATTCTATTGAATCAAAGCAAAAATGTCGGAAATAGCATCTAATTTTAAAATCAGTTTAGATTTGTTCGAATTGGTCACGTTTGGCACGAATTATGGCCTTCAAACGGCCAATATTTTGGCCCATTCCCGGCGAAGCGCTTGTCTGAGGAGATCGACATTTTGGTATTTTTTAGTGCCAACCTTGCTTTCCAAAATACTCCAGACACAATAGTCCAACGGATTGGTATCCGGAGGTTTTGGTGGTCATTGTGCGCTGGAAATGAAGCAAGGAACGTCATTTTGTAACCATTTTTGAGTAGCGCGTGCTGAGTCCTGTTGGAATGTCCTAGGTCTGCGGCCAAAATGTTTGCGAGCCCAAGGCTCTAATACACCCTCCATAATAGATAATATTCGGCATTTATTCTGATGCCACGGTCGATAAACATCGGCTGTTATGGCGGCCCAAACCATCACCATGGCCGGCGCTTGAGTTCTGGTGGCCAACCGAAGGTGCTCATTTTTAGCAGATCTCGTTGGCAAGTAAACACGATCATTTTGTTTGTTTACAAACTGCTGGACAACGAATGTTTTCTCATCGGAGAAAACCAAATTCGGCAAGTCTATTTTCTTTCCGTTGCGGCGTAAGTTCTTGCATTTTTTGGTATTTCAATGGCTTTACCCCGAGTTCATTTTTTAATATTTGCGAATGGAATATTGCCATATGTTCAGCTCACTAGCCATTTTTGGGCCACTGCCACGCGGGTTTCGATAAGGTCGCTTTTTTATTTTTTGAACCATTTCTGCTGATGTTGCTGTTTTCTTCCGTTCACTTCATTGACGTCGGGCTACGCTACCAGTACCAGTATCACAGTAACGTGCGATGGTTCGAGACACAAAAGATTTATTCACATTAAAATGCTGGAGTGCTCTAACGAAAGCCATTTGCCAAATATAAAGAAATCACACTATCACGCTTGAACTCCATCACGAATAACTTTTTTTTTGAAAATTCTCACCAAAATGCTTTTGAACGCTTGTAAACAATATAATGAGCTGCCACTGTAATAATTTTAACAGCTGTAGGACTTAGAAATGACAGCAGTCTGAAGTTGGTTGCATTTTCGGTGTTTTTATGTTTTTTGTCCTATTTTTCGGCCGATTTGTCTAAAAAAAGTGTATTTGTAGTTCGTTAATTGTTCTAGCTCCTGTAGCGGTATATAGTATGTATAGGTCCACGTTTTTGTATAGCCCCCATATAATGGTACCTCCGGATATTCAGTATTTATCTCCTGTGGCAGAACATTGAATGTTTAGGTTCATGTTAGCCTATACCGCACATAAAACGATATTCACCTATATACTGTATTTTGATAATCCTAGTAACATTTGCGGTAATTGGTAGATTATAATCCTTGAAGTATAAATTGTCTATAGATATTCTAGGTCTTGAAATTGCCCCCATATAACGGCCTAACCCGCTTTATGGTTTTTTGAAAAGTTTAACATCATCCAAATGGTCTTACTGGTATTTGTAGTTTAAAGTGAAACACGTTTGAATTCAGATACTTTTATTTAAAAATTTTTTTTTACGCAATCGTGGAAGGTATTCAAAATTCGGCTCGGCCGAAATTAATTTTTTTTTTACTTATTCAATCTGTAAATTTAATTCTCAACTGTAGCCATAATAATTAAAGTGTACATACTGTTTCGTCAATTTTATTTATAGTCACTTCTACTGTTCTGCTGTTGCTTCTGCTATTTATGCACTGCATCACGCTTACCTCTCGGTGTAACATAAAAATTTAATTTAAATAATTCACTTACCTATCGATTGATATCGCCATCAGAGTGAATACCGATGCACTTATGCTGAGAGTTGCAATAAATTGCGATATTTTACAGTAAAGCTGTCCGAAAGCCCAATTATTGTCCAGCATGTAAATATAACTGAACGTGACATTAAGGCTCGACACCATCGCATCGGCTATTGATAAATTCACTGAAAGTAAACACGAGAAAAATACACGAGTATGAAAATAAGAAGATTGACAGAAAGAGGAAAACAGGGTAATTATTGAAAAGAAGAAGGATTGCATGACTGTAAACATTTGCGATGAACATTTGTAAATCGGAAAAAGGTTGAAATTATACAAAATAATTTAAAAGTGACTTGAGTTGGGGCGCTGTATTTAAAAACTGATTCAGTTGTAATACATGAAGCTATTAACACAAATTGCTAAAATATTAAAAGACATATTAAAAATAATTTTCTTAGGTGTGTGATTGGGAGTGCCATCGATTGCACACAAAATATACTTGCAGAAAAAATACAGCAGATTAGAAAAGTAGCGGCTTTTTGAAATTTTACATGGCAAAGTTCCCCGGCATCAGTTTATTTGAAGTTTTCGGATTTAAATTCCTTGGAATCCGAACATTTTAGGTACACAGTGTCCTCGGCAGTATCTGTGATAATAATACGAGGATTATTTTGGTTTCAATTTTAACCCTCAAGCCAGTCATCGAAAGAGTCTTTTGGTCCCTTTTTTAAATTATGGTTAAAAATTGCCTTTAAATGGGATACTGGCAAGTAAAGATATCAAAGGTCTGAATCTTGTTTAAAAGACAGGAAGTCATAAATATTAAAACACTTTTGAGGGCTAAACTTTAAGGACAACTCAAGAACAAGAGTCCCCTAACCAGTGAATTTCTCGTAGCATTTTAAATGGTCAACAAATCGGTCTTAACACACTATTATTTTTTTTTCTTTGGTAAAAACTAGCTTCATTAATAATTTTTGGAGAACATTCGAGTGAGAAAACAATTGAAATAAATCGTGAATACAAAAAAAAAGTAATATTAATTTTCTCTTAAATATTCTTTTGTGTTCGCACAGGGGGGGTGAGATCCCCAAAAACGGAAATTAATTCAGAGAAACTATCGCTTGGAAATTTTGCTCAGACATTTATATTACCCCTATTATGTTTGGTATTAAAAATGGGACAAATCGGCCCACGTTTCGGCAAGGCCCCCATATAGCGTTATTTCCTGATTTTCGGTATTTTGAATGTTTTTTAGAGTTCGGAGTAGATATAATCTCTCCTTGCTTAATGTTGCTTCTCTATTTGGCATAGTCCCCATTTTACTGTACCTCCTAATTTTCGATATTTTGAAGGTTTCTAACAGAATTTTAAACCCATTCATGAGTTATTTGAAATTTTGATTTCAGAACTGACAGAATCTCTCCCTGCATAATTTTTTCGACCATATACAGGGTGAGATAAAAAATTCCAACAAAGCTAAACACCATAATTTTTACTTTTTTTAATTTTATTGAATGAAAGCAAAAAATATCGAAAATAGCATCAAATTTTAGAATAAGGTTAGATTTGTTCCAGGTCTTCGTATACCGCCCATATATCGGTGTTTCCCTGTATTCGGTATTTGCTGATTTCAGCGACATTCAGTCTTGTATATAGGTCCCTACAACGGTACCTCCCTATATTCGGCATTTTGATGTTTTTGTGACGTTATTCGCCGGAATTGCTTCAAGTTTCGCATTTGAATACTATAATGGCTGTGACAAAAGTTGCCTATGCACATCCAAGATTTTAATAGAATTGTTAACGGATTTTTTTTTTTAAAATTTTTTTTCCACAGTCGTTCGATTTGGTCCGACCGAACTGAACCGACATGTGGCTATGAGACTGGATGTGGACCGAAATGTCTGTTAGATCTATGGTTAACAAAAATTTTTAAATCCACGAAGTTTGATGAAAATCGCTGTTGTTATGGTTAAAAGTATTAACCAGTAAAGAAAGTCTTAAAGTCGGGCGGGGCCGACTTTATAATACCCTACAACACTTTGCTAATTTAGTAGAGCTCCACATAACAATTAAAAGTTTTTATGGGAGAGTTCAATCATACACGCTACGATTATAATTATAATTTAAAGTTCATAAGTCTCAATATATATATATATATATATATATATATATATATATATATATATATATATATATATATATGTGAGCTAGATCTAAATTTTGACCGATTATCTCCAATTTCAATAGGGTTCGTCCTTGGGCCAAAAATGCGAACTGTACTTTGTTTACAAAAATACACGGACAGACGGACGGACGGACATTTATAAATCGACTCAGAATGTGATTCTATGCAGATCATCAAAAGGAACTATGGGTCTATCTCGTTTCTTTTTGCCTTTTACAAACAAATGCACAAAGACATAATACCCTGACCACCTTTTGGTGTAGGATATAAAAATGTTGATCCCTTGTGAGAGAGGTATGAAAAGGAGCGGGCCGATAAATTCCATATTCACATCAGATGTTTGTTAGAGAGAAATATTTAGATAAACCAAACGCTGACTGGTTTCACATGTTATGAGAGATAAAAATATATTCATTATAATATATCTTTTGCGGGGAAGGTACCAGAGGGAGTTTAGGACGGTATGTTGTGAATATGGTACACAACATATCTTGTGTTAATAAAGATATTGTGATGTGTGAAATTTGAAGAAAATCCTGTGCTTATTTCACATTTTATGGCAGATATAATCATTCAAAATTTTGACTCATCGTGCGGAAGTTACCAGAATCAGTGGACCGATATATTCCGTATTCAGACCAGATCTTGTGTAGGGCGAATATTGGGATGTGATAAATTTGAAGACAATCGAACCCTTATTTTACATTTAATAAGAGTTATAATTATTCCAAATTTTCACCCTTTGTGGGGGATGTACTTGATGGACCTAGCACAAACAGAAATATTGCGATTTTTTATGACAAATAATTTTGTAAAATATTTTTGAAAGATGAACCAAAACGACACCTTTGATGGTGAAAAATTTCGACCAAAACTATTACTCATATGCTTTTCAATATAATTGGCGGAGAAAACCGAAAACTTCCAAAAATTTTGTAGAAGGGGAACGGTCTCCTTCTATTAAAATAATGTTACAATATAAACTTTTAAAACGCAGATACACATGTCTTTCATTTTTAGCTCTTCTTCCATACTCCATTGGGATTTTCCTGTAACTATGAGTAAAAATGAATATTGTCGCACAGTGTAATGTAATCACAGAGTTATCGTATTAAATTTGTTGCAATATTTGATTGATCCCTTTCGATAAAAGTTCTTTCATTTTTCTAATTTTCAAATTTTAATAGGGGACTTAAACGAGGAACGACAACGCTGAGTTCCATAGTTCTATTTTCCCAACAAATAACAAAGCCAACAAAACATGTTTTTTTCTGTCATTATGGCAGAGTGGTCAAATGGATGGCGATCTCTTTGTTGCGATTGCATAGAAATTTGTTTTTGTTTCCATTTCATGGGTTGGGACGGCGTTATTTATCTTTTTTCTGTTTTCCCCCCAAACAGACAATGGAAGAGGCATAGAGGCTCTAAGTTCGTTTGTGGTTGGTTGGTTGGTTGGTTGAAGGATACGTCCGTACTTATGTCCCCAATTAGAGGGCTACTACGATAATGACTGGAGAATAGAAAATGAGATGATGATGATGACGAGGTTGATGCTGTTGTTGGGAAAAAAAGGCAGATATTTTTGTTTGGAAATATTATAAAAACAACATCTATTGTTTACATTTTTAGCTGAAGTGGCAGAGGGGGTGTGTGCGTGGAGCACTTTATTTGATTGTCATTGACAGTTGGGCACAAAAAAAAAAAAACTTTTAATGTCGTCTTGTGGTTGTGGAAATATTTACTTATTTTTTAAAAAGGTTTTTTTTTTTATTCCATTTTTGTGTATTAATTAACTGATTTAATACACACAAATGTCGGGATGGGAAAATATTATAAATGACCAAATATGTTTATATTTTTTATGGTTTGATGGGGGTTAATGGGTGATGATTTAATTTTTTATTTGATTTTTCAACAATCCTTAAAAAGGGCGGGTATTATTTTTTAAAGGGACATTAATTTTGAAGAGAAGAGATTTTGAATTTTGAAGACAGCATTTTCGATATTCTTAAATTTTAAACAATAATTTTGAGGCTTCAGGTTATAACTATGAAAGTTTTAGAAATATTTGTTGAAGAACAAAAATGCGCATATTCCCCAAAATTTTAAGAGGATTGTTTTAAAAACCATAATTGTGAAGCTTTTGTGAAAGTTTAAAATGACGAAGTATTTCAAAAATATATATGGGACTAAAAGACCAACAGGATGAGATGAAGAAATTGCAACCAAATTCAGACTGCTGTCATTTCTAAGCCACTCGTCCGACAGCTGTAAAAATTATTCTGGAAAATTTCCTTTCCAGAAAAAAGTTATTCGTGATGGAATTCATGCGTAATAGTGTGATTTCTTTATATTTGACTGGAAAACCACAAGTGGCTATCGTTAGAGTACTCCAGCATTTAAATGTGAATAAATCTTTTGTGTCTCGTACCATCGCTCGTTACCGTGATACTCGTAGCGTAGCCCGACGTCAAGGAAGTGGACGGAAGAAAACAGTAACATCATCAGAAATGTTCGAAAAGTAAAGAAGCGACTTGATCGAAACCCTCGTCGCAGTGGGCGAAAAATGGCTCGTGAGCTAAACATATCGCAATATTCCATTTGGCAAAAATTGAAAAATGAGCTCGGGGTAAAGAAAATTGAAATTTTGAAATTTCAAAAAAGTGCAAGAACTTACACCGTAACGGAAAGAAAATAGACTCATAAGAGCTAAAGAGTTGCTTCGCTTGGCCGAAACGGGTGAACTGCCAAATTTGGTTCTCTCCGATGAGAAAACATTCGTTGTCCAGCAGTTTGTAAACTAACAAAATGATCGTGTTTACTTGCCAAAGAGGTCAGCTGAAAATGTGCATCTTCGGTTGGCCAACAGAACTCAAGCGCTGGCCATGGTGATGGTGTGGCCGCCATAACAGCCGATGGTCGCCCTCCGCTCGTATTAATCGACCGTGGCATCAGAATAAATACCAAATATTATCGTGAAAATATTCAGGA